GTCACATATTTTAATCGATTTTCAACCGGCTCGCGGTTAATCGTTACATCCCTAACTATAGTACAAAATTATATTATAGTACTGTATTTCAATGAGTTATAATTGAGAACAATAAGAATAAAAAAAAGTTAAATGTCTTTAAAATTAAAATTTTTTTTTAGTAAAAAAAAAAAAAAAAGCCATGTAGGGAATAAACCTTCCCTTTAAGGTGCAAATAAATGTGAATGAGTTTCAGGTAGCTTAAATTCAAGGTGTTTCCTCCGTGAAAAAATGGCGTTTTGACGGCAAACGATATACTAAAAAAAACAATAACGAAATAACACAGCACAAAAAAAAATAGGCTAAAAAAATAAATTAAAATTTCTTTTTAGTAAAAAAAAAAAAAAACCCATGTAGGGAATAAACCTTCCCTTTAAGGTGCAAATAAATGTGAATGAGTTTCATGTAGCTTAAATTCAAGGTGTTTCCTCCGTGAAAAAATGGCGTTTTGACGGCAAAAAAAATTCCTCATGCGGTGGTATTTATCAATAAAAACAACAATAAACCAAACAAAACCTGTATATAATTATACGCAGTTAACGTAATTAACGCGACTAAAAAAATAAGGTTTTAAGAGTTCAGAGAGAATATTAAACTTTTCCGAAAGTAAAAATGCAGAATGGCACTCGCTGACGCTCCGATACTTGTGTTGAGGGAAGATTGTGTCGCAGTCCTGACTCTTACCTGTCTGTCTCCTGTGACATATTTCTCTTCCTCCGCGGTTCTTCCTTGTGAAACTGGACTTTCAAGTCGGTGCAGGTAACAGAAGACAGAGCGCGAGTGAGAGATGCCAGAACCCGGGCTACAGGTAAGTCGACTTTTCTCTCTCGGGTTATTTCTCAAGGGCTGAAGGAGCAGGTAGGAAACACCTGAGCACCCAGTGCCGTCCTTCCCGAAGCTTTCAACGTGTGATTTATGAATAAAGAAATATATATTGAAACCGTTAGAACATGTTAAATCTACTTTTAATGTTTTTATTGTTTGCGTGGAGACCTATAGGTAAACTTTGATGGCTTTTTTTCTGTGTAAAGTATTTGGGTTCAAATAGGGGCGGGTCTGCGCTCTGATTGGCCGGGGTGCGAAAATGACGCTCGCTGATTGGCTGGCGCCTCAGAAGACAGGTTAGAAGACCCACCTCACCTGTAGCCATAGATTTGTCCTAGAAATAAAGGGCAGGAGCCTTTGTGTGATCTCTGGAAACTAGTTATTTGGTATTTATCCGTTTTTTCTTCCCTCGGTGAAGACTTAAAACCTTGGTGTTTGGTATAATATAGCCAAATATTCAGTATTGTGAAAGAAAATCCTGGATAAATTGAATATATAACATGCATGTGTCTCAATGTCAAATGTGGCTCTTCTCTCGACCGAATTTAATATCAAGTTAATAACTGTCAATCAAGTTAATATCAGAAAGAGTGGTTCACGCACAGGTGCACAGTCGGATAATGCCACAATGAATAACTCGCATCCTATTTTGATTCTTACGAAATTCAAATCATCAAGACCTGGCATGCCCAGAAGTCAAATAGTAGTCAGTCAATATTAGTTCCTTAAAGAGTTAAGTTCAATTTTGTGTGAGAAAAATTCATCAGTGATATTTCCCACACTTTCTGGCCCTGGAAAACCTCGTCAGGTGTGAACATGTACAGTGACCTCACTCCATGAGAATAGACGGGAAATAAGAAACTACTCATACGACTTGAAAACACGACAATACCGATGACACTGAGATTGTGCAACATTAGCTGCGTTTACATGACACTTTTTGTTTCAGTCGGAATGAAATCAATCTGACTGATGAATCGGAGCAAGATGAAGTGAAGAGTGGTATTGTATTACTCACACATTAGTGCTGTTTTTAAGACAAACATCACTATTGCTCATACTTTTATTATACTATTATTTTGAATAATATATCATGAATACGATATCAAATTGTGCAGACTTTTTGAGGAAAGGATATTTCTTTTACTCAAGAAATATTTCCTTTTATTATCATTGTTGAAAACAGTTGTGCTGCTTTTTTTGTACATTTTTCATATTTTTGATTCATGTAACATTATAAATGTCTTTACGGTCACTTTTGATCAATTTAATGCATCCTTGCTGAATAAAAAAAATCTTTACGGTCACTTTTGATCAATTGAATGCATCCTTGCTGAATAAAAAAAATTAAAAAATGCTTTTCCCCCAAACTTTTGAATGGTAATGCATCACAGTTTCCACAAAAATATGAAGCAGCACAACTGTTTTCAACATTGATAATAATCAGAAGTGTTTGTTGAGCAGCAAATCTGCATATTATACTGATTTCTGAAGAATCATGTGACACTGAAGACTGGAGCAATGATGCTGAAAACTCAGCTTTGAATCAATTACATTTTAAAATATATTCATATAGAAATGTTATATTAAATTGTAATAACATTTTACAATATTACTGTTTTTACTGTCATTTTTCTACTTTTTTAAATACATGCATCCTTGGTGAGAATAACAGACTTTCAAAAACATTAAATCGTAATTATTCCATACTTTTGGCCGCCAGTATACGTTATGTATATGTTATATGAATATGTTCCCTTTATTGAAATGCACAATATAGCCTGCTCGATGTTTCTGGCACTATACATAGAGATTAATCATGACACTGGAGAACTAGGGAGAGCATAATAACTTGTTTACCCAGGGTTATTGTCACCTTAATGGACCTATTGTGAGAGAATGTAATGTTTGCCATTACCTCTTCTAAACAAACCAATTTGCGGCAGCTCTGGACAACCTCAGTTCACTGGAGTGTAAACACTGGACATCCATTGTGAGGGAGTTTGAAGACTGACACCTTGGGCAAGCAAACACAGGCCTTTGTTTTGAGCATAGCTCAGCCATTCAAGAGAAGCAATAAAAAGCCTGGGTCAGAGACAATGGCTCCCTGCTTGAAGGAGAGGGGGTCAGATAGGGAAGGGTACTGGAGCAGTGGGGCCCGAATGAGTCTGATAACATCTCTCTGAAGACCCCTGACCTGACCTCATGCTCTCTGGATGCTCACAAAGGACCACTCAGACTCCTGACAGTACTTTAGGACAATCAAGCAAAGTTTGGCTTCTTTGTCATTTAAATGCAAGACTCTCTCAAAGAGATATGATAATGGTATTTCTGAGCTGTTATTAGACTGAACTGCATGAAAATAAACAGGAGGCATATTTACGGTGTATAAATAATATTTTAGTATTATTTCTATACTATTAAAGCATGCATTAATATTTTGAATTAGAATTATTTTTATATTTTCAGTTTCATTTTAGTTTAAGTTGTTATAATTTTTTGTTATGTGCTTTTGTCTTTTTATTATTATGTTTTATTTTTTTAATATTTAATTAACTTTAATTTATTTTTTATTTCAGTTTTCATTTGAGTGATTTTAGGGTGACCATACATCCTCTTTTTACCGGACATGTCCTGGCCGGGATTTCTAAATTGCCTAAAATGTCTGGGTTTTGACTTTGTTTTGCTATTGCTTTCATACATGCTGAAGGTAATAACTGACAAGTAATTTGACCAATAGCGTGCAGGCATTGTACAAAATCGACCAATCGTTGTGTGGGAGTAGGTGGGCTCTAGAGAGAACGTTAGAGCAATGCAAAACCACTTACATTTAATGTAAGAGGACTGTAGAGAGAACGTCAATAGCAAAACAAAGACAAAACCTGGACATTTTAGGCACTTTAGAAAACCCGGCCAGGACATGTCCAGGAAAATGAGAACGTATGGTCACCTTAAAACTACTAAAATGAAAATGGAAATAAAAAATTTATTATAGCTAAATAAATATTAAAAAAGGTTAATATATTAAAAAATACATAATATACAAAAAAAAAACATTAATAAAAATTACAAAAGCACATGACAAAATTACTAAAACCTAAACTAAAATTACAGGACATGGACAAATGTCCAGGACATGTCCAGCAAAAAGAGGACTTTTGGCCCCCCCCTAAAGTCACAAAAACGAAAACTCAAATAAAAAATAAATTAAAGCTAAATTAATATTAAAAATATATATAAAAATAACAAAAGCACATTACAAAATTACTAACACTTAAATTAAAATGACAGGACATGGACAAATGGTATTTTAGTAACTTATTTAGTAACTTATTATTTTAGTAACTAACTTATTTCAGTTAGTTGCTACGTCAACATGCCTGATTTTCATTTATATTTGATTTTGTTTCAGCTTTATTTCAATGACCAAAAATGATTTAGTAGTTTTAGACTCAATAGCTTTAGTTTTTTTAGTTAACAGTAGCTACACTGCAGTATAGCCTAAATTTCACATTTATATAGAAAATTTGTGCAGTGCATGCCTATGCAAACGTTGCCAGGGCTTTGCTATGCTAAATGCTAATTGCTAAATTGTGTTTTTTAGCATTATTTGAGGTATCATTCATGTCTGTAGCGCAAACGGTGTGAGATAAGTCATGTGCCAAAGTTTAATAAGTTTAGTGGTTTAAATTATTAAACTTAAGTATGAGTAATAGTAACAATGATGCTTGGCTTGGCAAACACCACTAATAAAATGGCTGTTGGCAACATTGGCATAGGCTAAATCGCTAAAATGTCAGATCAAGCATCACAGTAGATCCACTTAGACCATGTTTTTGATCTTGATATGAGTGTTTAGCATGTCTTCATGATTACAGCCCATCTTTTCTAATCGCTCATTGTGAGCACCTGGTGTTTTCACTACTGCGTGCAAATGAAGTTGCTAAATAAATACAGGTGGGGTCTTAAAACGGTATTCTCCAAGCTTTGCCCGAAGGCTTAAGGCTAATGCGGAAAAACCACAACATTGCGAACAAGCCTGTCTCACCATGCCTGGACTGCCCACAGTAAAAGGACAGGATGTGCAGAGAGCCAGAGCGCAACAAAAGGAGTGGATTACACACTGTATGTACACACAAGCAAAACCTATTGCAGCCAGGGCTCCTTACACAAACTTTTGTAACCGGTCAAGGCCTACTATCGAAACTACTGCGAGTTTAAATCAGGGTACTATTTAGTTTGGTGCTTAATAATAAATCTAAACGTCCCCAGCCCACACTTGTGAAAAAGAAGTGTGCTTAATTGTAATGAATGTGCACTAGTAGTGTACTTCAAATCTTAAAAGTATATTTTTAAACTGAAATTAAATAAAAGGCCACTTAAGTGCACTTAAAGAGAGTTCACTTTCATTACTGTTTTTAACACACTTAAGTACACTTTTAACAAGTTCACTTAATAATGTCAAATTTAAAAGTTACGTTCTAAATCATTCTTTTAATAATTTTGTTTTGTCATGCTTTAAAGTTCACTTGTTTTGGTGTGTTGACTAACATACCAAAGCACATGTAAAGTACTCGATTATAATTTTAACTGTGTTATTCAATACTAGATTTAAAGTTAACATATTTTTAAGGTACTAAATTGCAACTTTATCATTACAGGTATATTTAAATCCATGACATACAAGTTTCATTAAATGCCATTAAAGTAAATTTTAGTGTACCATAAATGCTTGTCAGTACATTCAGCATGCAGTACACTTTAACCATATATTTAAATGACATGAAAAGTAATTATGAAAAAAAAATGAAGATGTACTTAAGTCTTACTTATGTGGGTCAAAACACTCTTAAGTATGACAAATTGCATTTAATATAATATAAGTATAAAAGTAGTATAGAAGATGAATTAGTTCCAGGGTCACAACTCCATTAGTTAAAGAATATTTTTTTGAGTGATAAACTTTAAAATTTGTGTTTAAACTACAAATTATTAAGCTCATCTAACTCAATATAGTTTGTTAGTTGAACATAGTTTCATTAGAAGTTGTCATAACTCAAAAAGACTGATGCAACAGTTGCCTTATTTATTTATTTATTTATTTAAACGAGGATGTATGGTCACCTTAAAATTACTAAAATGAAAACACAAATAAA